AAAAAAAAAAAAAAGAAGAAGAAGCATTTATTAGAAATAAATTTGATTTGATTTTGTATTTAAGAGGCGTAAACAAGTTACTTGCTTGTTATGCTAAGGGCCTTTTTGAATAGTTAAGTGTTTATTTAATAAATATGAATAAATATAATTTGAAAATTTATTCAAATAAAGTAATAAAAAATGTTTAATTTGGTAAGCTTTTCTAGATGCCACCTTGGACCAATGGCCGGTTTATATTGCTTGTTAGAGTAAGTGGCCTTTTCTTATCATGTTGGAAGAAAATGAACGGATTGAGCTCTTTGACTCTTTCTTTTGGTTGGTTCTAAGTCAGATACACGATGAATGCACGTATTGCGAGAACCAAACATAATAACAAGAAGAACGACCAAGAAACACTCCAAAAAAAACACTGTCAACCACAAAAAAGAAAAGTAAAGCAATCTGACTAATCTATTTTATTTTTTTTTTCGTTCATGGTGTATTCACCGTCGATAGCAGTGACTAATCTCCTCGTTATGTTGAAGACACCTCAAAAGATAGAATAATTGGCCTCAAGATTTAAAGCGGCTACATACACAAGGCAGGATTCAAACTCCTGACATTGCTTAAGAGTTGACACCTATATTTTTTGTTTTTTTTTTTACACCTATGTTTAAGTAAAGAAAAGGAAGTGGGATATATGAAAGTAATTTTTAATATACTTATTTTTATTAATTAAAAATTATTAAAAACTACAAAATTAGGATAGAGATATTAAATAGAGCGTAAAATTCATTAAATTATATATTTTTAATAAATTTTAATTGATTAAAAAAATATTTTTTTTTAAAAGAGTGTGTGAGAGAATATCTTACTAACATTTATCTTTATAAAAGTAAGAAAAAGCAATGGAATTTTGTTCAAGAGTGTATTTAGGAACAAGTGGGCAATTTGTTGGTCTTTCTAGATTGTCTAATTCACTTTTTGGGATAGCAAGAGATGGAGAACTCTGATTCCAAGAGATTGTAAAATTGATTTGAATCCACGTTTTGATGACTGGGTTGGAAGTCTCATTGGAAAAGAATTGGCAGGCCCAGGCTGGTTTTGAAGAAGCCACTACCTGTTCCACGTGAGCTAAGGCTCAACTTACATTGTTTTATACTTTAGTAAACTTTTGTACCCCTTCTATAATACTTGGTGTTACAATTCACAAACCTAGCCATGTTTACTTTAATTTTTTTAATGATTGAGAGAACTGATTTTTATATCATGGTGAGCATGGATTGAGTTGAAATTTCGACCATATTTAGAACCAAATCATTTTAATTTTTTTTTTTTTTTGCTAAAAATCTATTTTGGTCTCTTATAATCTTTTTTTGTTTCAATTTAGTCAGTTTCAAGTGTTCAAAGTAATATTCTCATTAGACGAAAAATAGTCTCCTTGCGAAACGTTTTTAAAACTCCTTCGTACACACACATTCAAACCCCCTTCTGTGTGTTTTTCCGCTAGCTTGTTTTTATATAATTTCTTTAACGGTAGTTTGTGGGCGCTTTTGAAATATAAAATGCATATATGTTACAATAAGTAAGGAGGAATAGCTTTAGTACCAGCCCAATCTTTATTTCATCCCAAAACTGTTTTTCTACTCTTATGTCAAATTTGTCAGTTTTAATGATTGTACCACTATCAGCATCTTCACATTCTTCTTTAGACCAGGAAAAAGAAAAATACAAAGATAGCATATTATATGCCTCTCTTCTCTCTAATGGCCCAATTGAAAACAGTGTTCTATAACAGTTCCAGAGTTTGATGAAGAAATACTCCCTGAAAACCAATAATATACAAGATACATTCATAAACAGAAGATAGAATGCATATATATATATATATATATATATATATATATAAAAGATGAACATTAATCAATACATCTGAACCTACCAAGAAAACCCGTGTTTCCTCCCACGAATTGAGATTTCAAATGAGCAATTTGCAGGCAATGCTTTAAGAATGATAGGAAGAAGAAGGCCAACTACGCAAGACCTGTGCTCTGGACTATGTAAAAGCATCCGCTCAAACATATTACATAATTCCCAAGTCAAAACTTTAACAAATTTATCTGCAATGCACCCTTTTCTTTCTGCTGATTTAGGGAGTGTATCTATTTGCATATACTGAAGGGCAGCTTCCACAATTACAGTCAGAACATTACAAGATGTTGGCAATTTGAAACTTGACGGAGACAGTAATAGCTCCTTATCCAATAGTGGATCAATCATGACATCAGGCGAGTCTTGGTGAGACAAATTGCTACTCCATTCATAAAAATCCAAGTCATCATTATGAAGCATACCCATGGAATGACCAACTGATCTTAAGAAAATTGGCACCAAAGTAGCTTCAAGAACTTCCCAGGCACGAGTTTCAATCACTACACCTATGAACAACTCTGTGATCTAACATCAAAAAGATGCACATCCAACAACAATAGACGCAAAATAGAAAAAAAAAAAATTAGTTAAGAGTCCTCCGACAATAACCAATAAAACACTGGCAACTTCTGTATTAATACCTGATTAAGTGATCCATGCTACAACGGTTGTAGCACCTTAGCTAAAAGAAGAAAGCATCTCCACACAAACAAACTTGCGACATCACAATCATCCCCTGCAAAGAAATAAATTAGACGGGGGTAATGTTAGAGCTGCAAATACTATATTTCAGCATAGCATCCTAGTTTCCACTTAAAATCCACTTCTAGATAAAAAAAACAGAGCAAAAGCTATACACAATGTAAGGGGCAGGAGTTGAAAGCTCAAGGTAAAAAGAATTTTAAAAAAACGAAGTAAACAGGATGGTAAATTGGTAACTCACCCGATTTCTTCAAGAGATGACAAAACGCGCCCATCAGTGAAGACATTTATCAGCATCCAAATTATCACCTTTATCGATAATATCTTATTACATTCATCAAATCAAACAAATAACTTCGATAACGGACTCGCACGATAGGACCACCGCGTTTTTGGAAAGCTCCTCCAGGAGTGTCTCTAAACCCTAAAACATCAACACGCATTTGTACAAGATGAGAGAGGCAAAAAGAAGCAAAAGACAAAACTAAGATATGCAGCTAAAATGGTTTCACTACGTTGTCGTTCGTCGAAGAGGGCTTCAATGCTTGACAGTCGTTCGTTGACGATTAGCAAGCCTGGACTGTAGAGAGCTCTTTAGGTCTGAGAATGTTGAGAGGGTGTGTGTCCGAGAGTGTGCGTTCGAGAGGGTGCGTTCGAGAGTTTTTTAGCCTCTTTTTTTTTATAACTTAGACCGAATCCATCTGTCCATAATCAAGTTAGGTCGGATTGTGTGATTAAGTTTATTAATAGACTTATCACAAATAATTTTGAAAGTTAAAATGGGGAAACGAAAAATTAATTGTAATAAAAAAAAAATTTGATAAATAATCTCAAAAATTATGATTATAGAATAATGCAAAAAAAAAAAAAAAAAAAAATATATATATATATATATATATATAATATAATCTACAGAATTATAGAACTAAATAACCTAAAATATTATATAATAATAATGACAATAATAATAATGTAGATTCGAGTTAATTTAAGTTATTTGGTTTATGTTTGCGCTCAATTGTTACTTGAGTCAATATTATTAGACTTATAATTTTAAAATTTAAATCAAACTAATAAATTAAACCAACTCAAATATTATCTTTGATTTGGCTCAAATTGAATTAGGTCATCCCTAATCCAAACTCATGTCTATCCCTAGTTTTATAGAGTTGTCAAATAGGTTCGGGAATGAGTTGGTTTGACTGAATACTCGAGATAACTTTGTAGAGGCAAGATTGACTTGAAACATAATACTTGTTTATCATAAACAAAGCTCACATAATGGAACCTAGTTTATTGATTAAGAACGAGATTTAGTCATAGTATTAAAGGATAACTAGTATAAAAAATCTTGATTTTGATCTTCCTTAAAACTTTTTGAAGTTTTCTCTTGTCTTTGTCTTTGTTATATCAAAGTACAATCTATAACCCTTTAAAACTTTTAACAAAGTGAAATCTTTTTGCAAAGATATAAAATAACTAGTTGTCTTAGAGAACAATATAAATCACAGTTAAAAACAAAAAGTGAACAATGAAATGCATGATAATCTTTTGGAGATAATACTTCGTTTGTCTAAGATGAATGCCTAAAACATCACATTTAATATGTTTGATGCTTCTATCATTTGTTTTTCTTGTTATTACTTGACAAATTAAAGGAATAAAAGTTTCTTTAGTACTTGCAACATACAAAGGAACATATATTTGATTTTCGCTAGAAAAATGACAAGTAAATATGTCAAAATATATGAAGTCAGTTAAAATCATTTTTGATTGAAACATGCAACAATTCCTTCTTTTTTGTACCAAAATGGTGATAAATAGTTTCCTTGATTAATTAAATAAAATGTGACAATTTGGTGAAATGCATTTAATGCAAACATTTATTGAATTAACAGATACCTAACTTTACAAGGAAGCAAAATGGAGTAAGATGAAGTAAATCAATGAGTGCTACTCAATAATTTGCAACGGTCTTCTTCAAAGTTCACCTATAAAAATGAGTTTGAACCTCACATAAAAAATAAAATAGACTCAATTTATTCTTTCTTTGTAAATCTAATTTTTTACTTGAAAGTTTATCACGTCTTGTGTGTAAGATAAACTATTTGTTATTTTACTCAACTTAATTAAGTTGTGTGTTTTAAATTGAAACCTGAATTGAATGTAAAAGATAGTGAAATATGATCTAGTTGATTAAAAATTGAATGTAATCTCAGATGTTGAAACAAGTCAGTATAAAAATATATTGTTTTATTTACTTCTTCGTATGTTCTTTGATTTTACATGACAACTTCATTATTTTCAAAAGTGTTGAGTATTTTGTTATATACTATTCAATCCACATAATGTGACACATGAATTAAAAGATAATTTAAAAGATTAATCATTAATATTATGCATTGTAGTATTACACATTAATTTAAAAATTATTTAAAAAAATTTATGTAAAAAAGTTCATAATTTTTTAAATAATTTTTTTAAAGTCGTATGTATAACCACATAATTCGTGTTTATATACGGCTTGCACTTGACGTTTTTTAAAAAATTTATTCTAATTAAGACTTATCATATTTAAAAAAAAATAAAAAATCGTGAATGCAAACACTTTTAAATTTTAATTTAATTTTTTTAAAAAACAAATAACTCGTATTTAAAAAACACGACTTCTAATTTTTTTTAAAAAAAAAATATATAAAACAGAAGTCATATTTTTAAACACGACTTATATTATACACATCATGATTTTCAAACCCTTATTTCAATTCTGAAAATTTTTTAAAAATTAAAAATACAGAAAATTGCAAAAAAAAAAAAGAAGAAATAAATTGAACAATGTCTGAAAAAATAAAAAATACTAATATTTATTTTCTGAAATAAGCTCTTGTATTACACCCATCAAATTTTGTAGTTTATGATATAGTGTTCTTTAATTCTGAAAAGAAAGTAGTGTATATATATATATAGGAAATAAATTAACATTAATATATTACCATATTTAGATTCTGAAGTGGGGCCAAAAGCTATGAATGTATGAATGTGGACCCTTTTCTTCACAATCCGAAAACGTTGAAAATTGAGTGCTGACGTGGATAACCGTTTCGTGTCATCACTTTCACGCCTACGTTTTTCACACGGTTACACATTTTTTAAAAATCAAAATTCATTTGTAACAACTATACATACATAAATTAAGAATATACACGTAAAATTACTTTTTATAGTTCGAATTATTTTTCATGTTTACATTTTTAATTCAAATATATACTAATATATAAGGAAATACACTTTTTTTGGTAATCACCTTGGTCTCCATTTTTATTTGACCATTATACCCTTTTATTTTAAAAATTAAAAAAAATATTTATTAATCAAATTTAAGAATTTGAAATTAATGAATTTATACTAATATATAAGAAATACTAATTTCAATAATTACTTTTAATTTTTATTTTTACATGGATCATTTTATTTTTTTATTTATTTTTAATAATTGTTACTTTTTTATAGTAACTTTTCATTTTTTTAATACAATACAGGCACGGAATGCCTTTTTCCTGCTAGTTTTTATAAAAGGAATAAAATATGTATCACCTACACTAATTAATTACTTATAAAAATATTATCGGTTTAAAAAAACACGTTTTTTTTAATTTATAAATGATTGATAGTTATATAAATTTTTATGCTATGTTTTTATTGCTAATTATGAAAAATAAAATATTTTTTCAACCAATCATACCCCACAATTTTTAAGAAGATATTCATTTTTTTTTTCTTTCGATATCATAAATATACATATTTTGGTTATTTTTTTGATACCCAAAGTACGTTTTTAATTATTATGTAAATATTCCTGTTTTCTTCTTCTTATTATGAGACTTTAACTTACAACTTACTAGAGAAAAATACTATAACGCATACTCAAATAATTCAATGAATTAAAATTAAATTAATTTGGGTCTTTTTTGTTGCCATTTTTATCTGTCAAATAAGTAATAATAGAAAGGAAATCAAAGAGAAATCTGTTGTGATATTTTATGTAATAAGAAGACTTGAGCGATTCTTTCCTTGTTTTGTAAAAAAATATACAGGGAAGAAAATTCTTTAATTAACATGTAGATGAATAAAGATTACTTAAGTGATTGAGAAATCATTATTCTTCCAAATGTTTATTTTAAAAATGAGATAAATTTATATATATATATATATATATATATA